ACACTGTTCTAGACAATGTCCTTTTCAGGGACATCCATGCTTATTTTAACATGACAGCTTCATTCTACAGTCCAGACCTGTCTACCATTAAAACATGCACTGCATTATTAAGTGTAATACATAACAATGAAGACCCCAAATGGCTGCTAACTACATAACAGAATATCATGGAGCAATGGTGAAAAATTCTGCTTTCAAAACTGAATCACTTGTGTCTTCAGTCCTCAACTGATAATTAAGTGTTGTTAAAAAAGGAAAGGTGATGCAACACAGTGGTAAACATGCTTCAGTAACACTATTTGGCGTGGCCCTTTGTAGATGATTAATAAACTCTTAATAGATTATCAGTAACACATTAACAACATATCAGTGAAGTAGCAGTAGTGAAGCATCTGAATACGCTGAAGTAAATATCTTGTAGATGTTCTGTTGATACATTACTTACATTAAGTAGATGTGTTGTTAATTTGCTACTTCCATTACGCAAAACCTAATCTTACCCAACTTTACCCAAAACCTAATCCTAACTCTGGCCCTAATCCTAACCCTAACCTCAACCTCAACCTCAACCTCAACCCAAAACCTATCCCTGGCCCTAATCCTAACCCTAACCTCAACCTCAACCCAAAACCTAACCCTGTTTTTGACATGTTACTGAGAGTCTGTTGAGTGTTTATTTCATTTAAAAAGAACCACTCAAAGTGTCACCCATGCTCCTATCCCAACGTTTTGCAACATGTTGGTGCCATTAAATTTGGAAAAAGCATATATTTACAAAAAAATACACATTTCATAAGCTTTCATAATTTACTAATCACTGTGTTCTGTTTTTAGTAGCATTTCGCATACTGTCCCAACATTTTTGGATTTGAGGTTTGTAGTACACACCCTTCATCTTCTCGTATTCAGTGTTTACAGTCTCTAGAAAGTGTCTGTAATGCCAAAGGTATAAATATCACTTATAACACAACAGTCATACAATATGAGTCTCTATTCATTTTTATTTTCAGTTTTATTGGTCTTTGATAGGACTTTGACATGAAGTTTCAGGTTCCCCAGTATCATCATGACTTCATGACCAACACTGTGCCGTTGTCATGCACAGGTAAAGGTGAGCTGTTCCAATGCAGAAAGATAAGGCAACTGAAAGCACGTTTTCAGAACTCTAGTGCTGCATTTAAAGCAAGAGTTTAGGGAAGTTTTAAAAAAAAAACTTTCAGATGTTTAAATGTAACAACCAGTCAATCAATAATGCAAATAAGCTATAGAAATTTGCAGTGGATTGCAGTGAAAATATTTGAATGTATATTTGGACAGAGGCATATGTGGTAGGTATTGCCTTCAAGTAGTGCAAAAAATGTAAATCTCAAAGTAAAGGGGAATTCCACCAATGTTAAAAAAATTCAGCATAATTCAATCTTAAACAAAGTCATTCAGAGTGGTTTGATGTGAAATGCTCCATTTACTTACTTATGTACTTGCTATATCAGATTTCTTTACAATGGTGGTGATAGGAACCAGGAGTCAGAATGTCTACAACACAAATATAGCCATTTTATCTACTATACAAAGCCATCTGCACATGGTAAATCTGAAAAAAAAAAAAAAGAAAAAAAGAATTTTCTCCAGGTACTGTTTGCCTTTCAATGCCCTGCATGTCCTTCTCTGCCATTAATTGACTTTAAAAACTACATTTTAGGCCAAATGTCCCAGGTACCAGGCAGTGTATTCATAACTATTCCTTGTGATAGCTTTCTGTGAGGGAACTTTAGAGACATTAAACTCTTCAGATGCCTGATTCCTATCTAGTTTCTCTAGAATGGAGAATTCCACATCAAACCACTCTGAATGACATCTTAATGCTTCGATTTTACAGAAATTCAGAAAAATCTCCTTTAACAGTGTTGCCGTGTTCATAGTGCAAGGAGTTACTATATCTCATATGTATATCTATATGTCAAGCATTAATATCACTGTATGGAGGAATTTTAAGGTGTTCAGTGCAGGGTAGTTAGCTGATGAGGCAGTGTGCTGAAGTCTGCAGCGTTTTGGCCCGCAAGTGACTGGAGCCTCACACATGTGGAGTAGACGATAACTGCAAAAATGCTGCACTTGTTTTTCACACCAGGTTGCTGCAATGATTTCCAATTTCTTTAGACTGTTTTTGAAAAAATATCCAAAATCAGTGATTTACTGAAGCCAGTTTTTATTTTCGGACAATTTTTGGCATGTGTCTTTTATAATTTTTGAATAGTAGAACGTTTTGGGATCAGTCCTCTTCAGTTTTCCTTTAGGTGATCATAAATACTGGGACAGTTGGGAAATTTTTCTTTATAATATATCAGTCTTGCTGTCTTTATCTTAAAATATTTGGCTATATTGCAGTGCAGTTTTAACCCAACTGTAAGGCCAGTTTCCCAAACCCAGATTAAGCCTTAGCTTAAGCTAAACAGAATTTATAATGGTCAAAAACCACCATTAGTCCAAGACCCTCAGGGTACTGACAGAGCCCAGTGAGTGGAAATGATTGCATCTAGGTTTGGCCTAAAAACTAGGTATACTAGAAGCAAGTGAATTAAAGGGGAATTCCACTACATGTTCAACATTTCCACATAATTTAATCTTAATAGAATCATTCATAGTTTTTTGATCTGAAACAGTTTATTGTAGAGGAACTTACTGAGGAACTTACTATGCAAAACCACCAGTGATCCTACACTACTAGTACTACTTTTCTGAGGTAGCTTTCAATAGATTTAAATGCTACAGATGCCTGTTTCATTACCGCCACTGTGAACACTCTAACTGACTTTACATCTTAACATTTTAACCATGCAGACATTTTGAAACATAGGTCTTTAACAGAGAGAACTTAAAGCACATGTGTCAGGCTCCAGTCCTGACAGGCCAAAACACTGCAGACTTCAGCATTGCCTCCTTAAATATACCTGATTTAGCTAATTAGCCTTTTTTAAAGGCCTTCATGAACTGAATTCAGAATGTTAGATGAGGGTAAATGCTAATCACAGCAGCACTTCGGCCTGGAGGGTCCCCAGTTTGACATGCCTGACTTAAAGAATGACTCCTACTAGTTAGGGTGTATGTAAAGAAACAAAGACATAAATTCCCAAATCATCAAATGCATCAGTTTCATGTGTTCATTTCATTTGTACTCCTCATAATGCCTTTCTATCACTGGCTCGTCATAAATACTCTCAAATAATGCCTTGGCTTGCATATGAGCATGCTTACCAGCATTAGAAAAGCAGCAGGTTAATAGTATCTGAAGGTGCTCTAGATTCTTGTGTTTTTTTTATTCCATGGCTCACTGGAAGCAGAAAGCTAGCTTATTAACCACAAGACACATTGATATGCTTCTGTTTTAAGCTTCTCATGATAAAAAAAAACAGACTTTCATATCTAACGTCAGTGAAATTACTTTAATGCTGAAATTTTAGTTAAAGGAGAGTTCCACAATTTTTTTCAAAATGTCTGCATAATTACATCATTAAGATGTAAACAAAATAATTCAGCGTAGTTTGGTGTGAAATACTCCATTCTTGAGAAACTTACAGAGTCAATTTGTTTCACAGTGGTGATGATAGAAACCAGTTGTCCAAAGTGTTTAATGCCTCTAAAAACTCCCTTACAGAAAGTTATTACACAAAAATGATTATGAATATATTGGGTGATGCCTGAGACATTGTTTTAGAATAATTCTGTAACAAGGCTGCAGCCTTAAACCTATTTTTTATAAAACTAAATTGATTCACAGGGGGAGAGGTACACTATATGGACAAAAGTATTGGGACACCTACACATTACACCTACATGAGCTTTTATGACATCCTATTCTAAATCCATACTCATTAGTATGGAGTTGGTCCTCCCTTTGCAGCTATAACAGCTTCCACTCTTCTAGGAAGCTTTCTACAAGATTTTGAAGTGTGTCTGTGGAAAATTTTGCTCATTCATCCAGAAGAGCATTTGTGAGGTCAGACACTGATGTTGGACGAGAAGGCCTGGCTCACAATCTCAGTTCTCGTTCAACCCAAAGGTGTTTGATGGGGTTGAGGTCAGGGCTCTGTGAGGGCCAGTCAAGTTCTTCTGCACCAAACTCACCCAGCCTTTATGGACCTTGCTCTGTGCACTCAGGCTCAGTCATGCTGGAACAGGAAGGGGTCTTCCCCAAACTGTTCCCACAAAGTTGAAAGCATATAGTTCCAAAATGTCTTGGTCTGCTGAAGCATTAAGATTTCCCTTCACTGGAACTAAGGGGTCTAGGCCAACCCCAGAAAAACAACCCCATAGCATTATCCCTCCTCCACCAAACTTTACAGCTGGCACAGTGCAGTCAAGCAGGTAAGGTTCTCCTGGCATTTGCCAAACCCAGACTCATCCATCAGCCTGCCAGTTAGAGAAGCGTGATGCGATAATAACGCTTACAGTTGACAGGGACAGTGTCCCAATAGTTTTGTCTATATAGTGTATGTACAGAGTGTTGTTAGACAAAGAAGTACCCAAAGAAAATGTATTTCTTTCAATTTACCACTATTTTTCAATATCAACATATGAAAACTCAGTAGACACGTATTGGTTGACTGGACATAATGGATTGTGAATAGAATAGCTATATTTGTGTTGTAGACATTGCGACCCCTGGTTCCTATCACCACCACTGTGAAGAAATTAGAGTCATTGTATAGGTTTCTCTACAATGAGCCATTTCACATCAAATCACTCAATGACTTTGTAGACATCTCAACGATAGAACTGTGGGGAAATTTAGAAAAAACACTGGAATTCCCCTGTAAGGGAGTTGATCCTATTGTCAAAAAGCTCAGTTTGCTATAGTATGATGCCTCTAGTTGCCCTAAATTTTGTTTGAATAACGTTAAGTTTGTTTAAGGAAACATTTTTAGGCTTTGGCACTCTATGTGTCCATAGTCCAGCTCTGTATACTAACAGTTGTCCACTGTAGCAAGAATTAGCTGGCCGTGCTACAGGTTGCCAACAGTTTTCTCGGTGGTAGGCAGAGGGCCAGATGGGTATGGACTGGGGTCATGAGTTTTACAGAGCATGCAGCGCTGGACAATCTGAACCAGTGTGGCCCTGAAGCGCTGGATCCGGAATGCATACACCAGCGGATTGAGGGCAGAGTTGACATGGGACATGAAGATGCCCACATATATAGCACTTTTTGGCAAGTCACATTTGGGGCAAAAGTATGTGATGCAATTCATTATGTGGATTGGCAGCCAGCAGAGGGCGAACAGAAAGAGCACCAGTGCTAATGACTTGGCTAGCTTGAGCTCTTTGTGGTAGTATTTGCTGGAGTCGCTGGAAGCCTCAGCGCGGCGGTTTAGCTGCCGTCGGATAACACGGAATATCTCTATGTACAACCCAGTCATGATGGTGAGGGGGACCACCACCCAGCCAAAGAAGTTGAAGTACACCATGTAGTCCATGCGTATGACGGAGGTGAACTGGCACTTGATTGGTGATGTGCTGCTGCCATTCAGGGTTTGGTGCCAGCCAAACATCGGAACCAATCCGGTAATAACAGAGCTCATCCAGCACAGGCCCACTGCTACCCATGCACGCCGCTGTGTTACAATGATGCTATACCTGTCAATGCAAGACAGAAACAATGTTGAAGACTGTGGATTAGTTACTTCATGTCTTCATACGCTTTTCTTCTTATGACACCGTTTTATAGCTAGTTATTTGATACATACACACATAATATGCCTTAGGTATTCTAGCTAGTTGTAAGGCAAAACACTACAGGCAAATAAGGTAACTTTTTAAAATGGTAGACATCACAATGAATCTCTGACAGTTGATTACATGGGCATAGCCAAGGGGTGGCCAAGGGTGACTAATATCATTCTTGGGTGAAATAAAAACCCTTTTGGCCACGAAAGTTACAAAGTCAGACATCATCAGTGAAGCAGTCAAGCAAATTAGCAGTTATTGATCAGTTTTAAGATTCTAATCATGCAGTAATTTGTGTATAATGAGTGTACAATGGTCAAAACTACAAAAAGTACAATGGACTAACCTTGTCTTTCTACATTAGTGAATAGTATCGTAACCCAGCTGCAAGTGTTCGTTGTGCTGTCTAATTACTTGTAAAGCTTTCTTTTAAAATCCCCTAAGTTCCAGGTATTAACCTGGTAAGAATGTGGTATAAACTCCACAGCACTGTGTCATTATTTTGGGTAAAGTGATGATAAGTACCAAGACAGTCTAGATAAATTACTCTGACAAATTCTTGCTATTACGCTGATAAAGAACAATAGTATAAAATAAAATCTCATAATTATTTGGAGTAACAAATAATTTACTCTAATCCCACACGTTTAAGTAGGAAAGTAAATCAGAAACATCTCAAAGTAATGAATAGTGATATTACTTAAAATGACAGCACAACATACAAAGATAATTTGGTGAAATATACAGAAATATTTAACAGCTCAGTTACATGTATAGGAGATGGACAGATACATATTATATCAGGGTTTTTAAACCAATTATCAGAGTATATACATATATATATGTATCAGGGTTTCTCAACGACCATGAAGCATCCTTTTGTGGTCCTTGGGCTAATACTAGGTGTCCATAGTAGGCAAGGATGACACTTGAAAATGAATGGACCTAACAATAAAAATAAATATAAAATGTTTTCCAACAATAAACAACATTAACACAATCCTGCAAAAATGATGCCAACGAAGGCAGATTTATCAGGTTCTTGGCCCTTTCCCCTTAGAAACAAACTATACTCCCACTCTCCCACTGACATTTCGGTTGTCCACTCATGACACTACTAAAAAACAGTAGAAATGTGTTGTAGAAACATTCCACTTAATCTGCTACTTTTCGTTTATATTGTTTGTTCATTGATACATATTGCATATGGCAGTTGGCACACAAACATAGCTTTGTTGAAAATGTCCCAAAAATGAACATTTTTAAGCAAAAAACTGTCATTTGTCCATGGGCTTTCATGCTTGGGCTTTCATGGGCTTTCATGATTAAAAAAGTGCCTTGAGGTGGAAAGGTTTGAAAACCCCTGTACTGTATAGGACTCTTTCTACGTTACTTGCATGCAGTCATTTTAAATCTAATGATTACTCGTTACTTTTTACTCTAAATAATTGCACAGTACTGTGGAATTTGTAAATACAGAGGACATTTCAGTGTAATTTGATTGTTTTATATGTCTTGGACCTCACCAACATGTTACCCATAATAATTACCTGCACTTTAGAGTTTGTACCACATACATACAGGTCTCTGGTTGATACCTACAACTTAAGGGACTGTATAAGAAAATGTTATCAGTACCTTTTACACATGAGTACATGTGTGTTTAATGATAGTCTAGATTCCAGTGATGAGTGAAAGGATTTCTACCTGATGCCAGTTTAGCCTCACCCACTCAAAATAGTTTTTCACTCATAACCTCACACTTTGCTGTCAGACTGGCTTTCTTATCACTAGGCTCTTGAGTAACCTGAAGCAAGGGCAGCATAAACAAGCAGCTTCTATGGTCTAACTACAGGACATGTTTTAAGTTAACGGTGTGCTCTGAAAAAATTTCAGCAGTGAACAAATTTTTGTCTTTCTTTAGTTGTGTTAGTATATTGTATTCATATGGAATACAATACCTTATCACTCTATTGACTTCAACTGTTTGCATTGTAAAAGTTCTGGCTTCGCTTCCGGTTGATTGTATTGTATTGGACATTTTGCAAAAATGGCACTTAGATATGCAAATGAAGTGTTATTGGGTTTAATATGCAGACATTTGCATGTTTTTAAAAACCAAGAACCTAGTCTTTGGATGATGTTAAAATTAAATTGTTTAAGACTCTCCAGAGAGAGGATTCTCCACAACAGACTATTCAAGTCTTGGAGTTTTATTGTTTAATCAAGAAAGCACTATTATGTGTTGTTCCGGTCATTTTGTAGTTCAAAAATTAGCACAAATTCATCCTTACAAATATTTCAATGAAGACATAAAATTTCATTGCTGCAGGTATTAGGCTCAGATTTTTGGCTCTAAATGTAGAGAAAAGTTTGAAATTTTGAGAAATCTATTTTGAGAACAGGCCTCAGAAGTGTATTACCCAGTGAGATTTAGAAAACATGCACCATTTGTGTGATTGTTGTCACAAGTAGAAAAGAAAAATACATGTCACTGTCCAAAATAAATATCTCCAAAATGGTAACTTTACTTGTAATGTAGGTTAATGTAAAAATGTTTTATTCCAAGTAATTTTGAAGCAAACAAAATTTTGAAATAAACAAAAATGGACCTACATGGGTTTTTGAGCAGCAATGAAATTTGGGTAGTCTCTTTAGATTCTACAGGTAACATTTTTTAGTGATATATGGCTTGGTAGTGCCAAGTGTGGACTTAGCTAAGCCTCGCTAACTTTTGGGAAAAGCATTTAGACAAGAGCGGTTGTGAATGGACTAAAGCTGCTGAAATGAACATGTTTCTGTTTTGAGTTTAGACATTTTTACAATTGCAGTTCAAGAGAAGACCTTAAAGACACAATTTATCCAAAAACAAAATATGACTGACGGGTTGAAATGGTCATTTCTGCCTGTTTTATCTTGCTTTAATCTTATGTTTTCTTTGCATGCAAGATGGTCTGACTTTAGATTATTTGATATGTTGTTTTATACTGCCTCACAAATGAATGTGGCAAATTGGCGCACATACAAAACAAAAGCACCTTGCTCTTCCTTCCGAAATTGCCTTGTTCCTCTTTGACACGGTAAACAAATAAAGTGGTTAGAGTGCCTGCCAAAATGCAAAACAGCAGCAGGCATATCGTTCCATCTGACGGGCAGCAGCAATTTCATTTCGTTAAAAGCCTTGCATATCCAGCCCCTGTGATTTGCATCACACTGGGTGGAAATACACTGTTCTTGAGTCATTTCGGGAAGAGACCTGGTAAAGGTACTCCTGATGCAGTCAAACTGACATATATTTACATTAAATGGTGTCCACATGGAGGTAATAAATGTCCTGCTGGAACACCTCCATAAACCAGCTGGGGCAGACTGGTTCACAATTCCCTTTTATTGCTTCTAATCAAGAAATCATCTGAAGACTTACTGCCAGGCAAGCAGACTTCTCGGAATCCAATGTCCTGGAGTCAGCGAAAGCCAGGATGCATTTCACTGACTCACATGGATGGTTTAATTCAATTCTGTCAGAAGGCACTCACCCATTCATTCTAAGAAATGATGGAGTAAGAGGCTGCCTGCAGAGGCAGTTGATCGTGGCAAGTGGAAGGGCTCTTTTGCGGCACTCACCTGGTGGGAATTTTGATGCGCAGGTAGCGGTCAATAGCAATGGCCAGTAGAGACAGGATGGAGCTTTGGGTGATCATGAGAAGCAGACAGGAGAGGAAGAGGCAGGTATAGAACGGCGTATTCAGCCCCAGGCTGATGACCACTGCCAGCGGGATGACCAGGGCGCCCACGGTGATGTCGGCCAGCGCCAAAGACACGATGAAGCAGAAGGTAGGGTCCCTGAGTGCCCGGTTAAGGCTCACCACCAGAATTACAAGCACATTCCCCATCACTGAGGCCAGGGCGATGGTGCCCTCGATAGAGATGTACATCATGTCCACATGCTCCCAGTGCTCAATCCCTGGAGAGGATGGCATCTCCGTCATGTTGACCACAGGTCTCTGTACCTCTGAGGCACTAGGTCTCTCCTTCTGTGAAACAGAAGACATTGTCTTTCCTCTAGCCTTCCCTCTCTCCTTTCACACACATCTGTATGAACATTCCCATTCTGCTTCTAATCTTTTCTTCTTGGTCTCTTGTTCTCTTGGATTTGACGAGCGAAAAGAATCCAGCCTTTCCAGCCCACGCTGGCTCTCTGGGTGCCATGTGAGGATCAGGAGAAGTTTGCCAAGCTGCTCACTGTGACTTTAGGCTTCTTTCTTCTTCCTCTCTTTCTGTTTTCTCCCTCTCTTTTTCTCCTATTGCAGTGTTTGAATGGGAGGGGTAAGTGGCTCACTGCAACACCATCCTCCTCCTCCTCCTCATCTACCTCCTCCTCCTCCTCCTCCCACAAGTGCTTCACTTGGCCCTGTTCGCTCTCTCTCTCTCTCTCTCTCTCTCTCTCTCTCTCATTGTCAGAAATGTACAAAGGCTTCAACACACTCACTTACCATGTATATATACAGTAATGGAATGAATAGAAATCTAATTGTTCTCCAATGGTTGTTATGATTTAATTGAGCTAAAAGGATAGTTGCTCATTAAACTTTCACTAAGCTTTAGGGCCAAGTCACATGTAGGGTTCTATACAGTGCCACATTTATTTTTCTATTTCTAACAATATAGGAACCCATTTGGTGCTCTATAGAATCATTTCAAAAGCTTCTTTAAATAATTGAATACAAGAGGTTCTCTAATATAGAGAACCATTTGAACATTCACCTATGAAGAACCTCTTCTTTTAGGGCCTACAGTATCCTGTAGCAGATAGAGAACACCCCCCCCACATCAATTATTTCAGTTAAATTGTCATTAAATACAAAATATTCATTTTCAGCATCAGAAACAAAGCAGAAAACACATATTTAACAGTCAAATTACACAGAAACCTCAACGACTAAATTAAAAATACTTACCTTTTTAGCATTTAGTCTGTCCACCTTTTCTCAGCTTTCGATCTTTTCAGGAGACTTGCTTTTAGTTATTCAAAGAAATCTGCAGGGATATTTTTCCATACCTCCAAAGTTCAGTCTTACAAGTTGCTTATATTTTCTGCTTCTCATGATCCAAGTAATTCCAAACACATTCTATGAAGTTGAGGGTTGGTCTCTGTTGTAGTCTGTCAGTTGATCAGAGAATACCTGCAGCTTCTTTATTTGGTTTGTACATTTTCTTCTTTTTTTTCTTCTTCTTCTTCTTCTTTTTTTGTCCGTCTCCTTTTCTCAGTGAGGGCTTCTTAACAGCTACATATCCTTTCAGAACCCAAAGCTCTGAGTTGTCTTCTCACAGTGGAAGGATGGACAGAAACACCTGTGGATGTTTTCAGATCTGAAGCAGCTTGATTCTCTCCTCTCTCTCAGAGATGAAAACTTTCCATGCTGTTTATTTGATGAGAGCAACTTTGGTCGTCTACCAGGCCTTACATGGTTGTTCGGAATTTGATTTTCTGCAAATCTTTTGAACTTCAGTCTTTTGAACAGTAGTGTGTATTTATTCAATTTTTCCATATGTAGCTTTCATGTTTGTAAAAATTCCTAGGAATTCCTGCTTAAAATTCAAATATAATTACAGCATGTCTTTCTGTAGAGAAGTTTGCATCTAATTTCACATATGTTGAGAAAGTGTTTGAAATATATTCACAAGATGTTTTTTTTTTTGTTGTAAAATCTGTATATGAGTGTATAAAATGTATAAAACACTCCAGCTGGAACTCCACTGACTTTCATCTACCTTGAAGCTCACTCCATTTTTCAGTGACATCTGTGTCCTATCCCCAGTCACCTTGGAACTATTGATTTTTACACTTATCATGAAGCATCAATACATAAAAGACAGTTACGAGTAATTGGAAATGCACTATACTGTGTATGAGTTTATGATTTATGCTGCTGACTAACAGTAATATTCAAAGCCTCTGCTTACTTACTTTTCACATAGTGACTTTTTAGTGTTGCTCTGTCAAATGAGGTATAAGCATTTGAACAAGTAGCAAACACATTTGAACATAAAGTGCAATCTGTAATTATTCTGACGGTGATACAGTATTTGTTGCATTGATTTCAAATCAATAACAGTAGCATGCAGACTGTCAGCTTTAATTCAAAAGAATTTTGAAACATCTTGTGTGAGAAGTCAAGAGAACATCTCTAGGATTAAATGCAGGGTCTAAATGGTGCAGTGGTTGTAGAAGATTTTTTGGTAAAGAGTGGAGTGCAGCAAGTTGTCTGGGCATGAAGTCCTTGCTTGTGTAGTGTTCTTCTTATCATGTTCACTGACACTTTTGTTCTTGTCTTCATCAGGTCACACTGCAAGCCTTTGGCAGTAATGCGAGGCTTTTTCTCAGATGTTCTGTTCAAATGCTTGAATTCACTAGGTGAAATTTTGCTCTGTCTTCCATGTCTAGGTAGGATTGCTGCTGTGTCATAAGTTTTGATCTTTCTCATAGTACATCCAACTGTGTCTCTTGGAACTTTAAATGTCTAGGATTTTCTTGTAGCTGTTGCCTTTTTGCTGTGATGAAATCATTTCTTCTCTTAGCTTTTGTGAGAGCTCCTTATTCTGCTCTGTTTGCTACTGAGCTTAAACACATGCATGGGTGGGATTTATATATTTATATAGCTAAAGCAAAATTAATTGTCGATGTAGAGTTCCCAAAGGCTTAATTGCGTTGTAACACAATTTTGTAGCCTTACGGACTATTAGTGACTCAAAAACCGGCATTATTAAATAGAATTTGAATAATTTTAGACATGGCTGTGTTAAGAAAATTATCCTTTTACACATCATACATTTTCACCATCAATCTGAATAGGTCACTCAACTGATAGACAGGTAGTTTGTAACGCAACCAGATGCGTGCAGTGAAAATAGACTTTCCTAGGATCCAAGAGAGGCATAGTCAAAAAACAGGCCAAGGTCAAAACCAGAAAAAAACATAAGAGATATAATGCAAGCAAACAATATAAAAGGGCAAGAACAAAAGGCAGAGGTCAAAAATACTGAAAACAGGTTCAGTACATGAATAGAACAAAACAAGAAATGCTGCTCAGCAGCCCTATTGAAAGATGCAATACCTCACAAAGAACTAAGTTAAAAGCCCAGGCTTATATACTAACTAAAGAGGTAGCAATAATCAGAAACAGGTGCTACACATCAATACTCAGGCAAGAAAGAATGTGATTGGTTGGCGCTTGTGGTTTGCCAGTCACGTGATCTCTCAGAGGATTCTGGGAAATCGAGTCCTTAGTGGGAGCAGGGTCAGAACGAGGCTTGACATAGTTTAAAAATTGTGTAGGTCTTCATAAAAACTTGGAAATCCTTACAGTCTCAGCAGGGGTTAAATCATTTTAAGTGCAACTCAAATTTAAGTAAATTAATTAACTGTAAAATGGCCAATACAACCCAAAGCACACTACAATAAACATGTGTTGCAAACACAAAAACACTTTTTTCAACATGACTACACCTGAGCTTCATTTTACAAAAGCACTGCAAACTCATAAAACTTTAGGAATGCTGATAAGCTTGTCTATAATGTGGCGAAGCAGACCAGACACTCGCAGTTGGAAAAGTTGGAGGCTTTAATGTAACAAGGATCAATCAAACCTGACATAGTAATACAGGCAAGGGTCAAAACCAGAGAAAGACTACTGACAATCATTAACAACAATAAAGGAAAAAGTCAAAGGCCAAACAGGGATCAAAACCATGAGGCAAAACTCAAGAAAAAGTAGACAATGGTACCATGACAGTTATCAGTCATGTGTGGTATTGCTGTTTGAAAATGTACAGTTATACTCTACAGCTCACTCCCCTTATGATACAGTGATATTTATTGTCAGTTCAAATAAAACTTACTTTTACTGTGAACATATAGACTGCATGGAATTTAAAAGTGTGGATGCCTCCATAGCCTCTGGGAACGTTTCTTTTGTGTTGTGACTGGCTTTGCAGCATTTCTCTCTTACTAACATCTCTGATTAATCATTTACATGCTATACTGAGATAAACAAGGTGGATAGGTAGTGACAAAATGACAGTTTTTGTCTTAAATGTGACACAATCATGACAGTCAATATGCTACAAATGATGCTAACGTTAGTTAGCTGTCAACATTTCTCACCACCAGCCTGCTCGGATATCTCCTCATCCTCCTTAACTGGCTTTTTCATACCTTAGTTTTCTGCAGTTCTTGCCGCTGCTGTCCATCTTCGCATAATTCACATATGAAAATTGTGACAACAGTAAGTTTATAAACTCAGTGGAGCACTGTTGGTTGTGATAGCCAGTAGCACATCGTCACGCTTAATTTGATGTCATTTCTACTGGTTTAACCCTTAAATTTCTACATACACACACTTTGATGATTAATTTATAGCTTGTCTGAGTGTTCATGTGCTTTTATGTGTGAGTTTATACATTAGCTCACAGTAAGTGGCCCAAAACGCTTCCGGCCCACTAGGGATTCTCCTGACCTTCCCAGTTACCCACTATGGCACTGCTTCTAACACTTTACCCTCATTGTCACTGATTCATTAAAAATCCAATGTACTGGAGTGAGGAGCCAAAACAGCAAAAATTGTGCACCCGTCCAAATCCTTACAGGCTGAAACATATGCTCTCCCTCTCTCTCTCTCCCTCTCTCTCTCTCTCTCTCTCTCTCTCTCTCCCTCTCTCTCTCTCTCTCTCTCTCTATGTATTTATTTCCCTTTAAAAAGCCAGAATGCTAAAATGGCTACTACACTTGCCAAAATTAAGAACTTTCAATTACTATAAAACTCCACTGCAGTCTTGTAACAGGACAATATCCATTTTTTGCCCCCCGACTCGATGCTCTCTTCAAAGAATACATTAATGGAGCGATTTCACTGATACGGTTTAATCAACTGAGATTGAAATGTCTGCTCATAAAAGCGTCCGGATGTTTTTCACAGTTTCTCAGAATGATGAGTCACAGAACATAGCTGCAATCGGGAGGAAGCATTCAAAATCAATTGATTTTTTTTCCCAAGTTTAGATTTGACAGCGGTTTGCAAGTTGATCATGTTTTGCCTTTGCGTGTGTTTCATTGGTTGGATTGGTTTCATGGAAATGGAAACTTTCAACCTCTGCCTCAGTAAAGAGAGGCTTTTAAGAGAAGAGTGGCTGGAGAACTCAATAACCCAGATCTGATGTAAATAACTTCATTGCACTCTTTGACAAAAAGGTTGCATAAAGGTTACTTGATTCAAATATGTACG